TAATCAATTTTGTTATTTCAGTGTAACTCAAAAACAAATGACAATAACAGTAATATGTTAACATTTTTACCAAATTTTTGTTAGTATTTTCTACACAGAATAATTTTGAAACTTTTTGAGTTATTTAAAGATATTTATTTTTGTTTATAAATGTCGGTAAAAAAATTATTGTTAGAATTCAAATACTTAAAATCCTAGTGTTTATATTATTATTTTCTATACATACTAATGTTCACAATAATTTGACTCAATTTTTATATGCATTTTTTTTTTTTTAATTTTATTTCTTTAAGTATTGATAAAAATTCTAGAAAATTTAGTACAAGATCTTATGTATATTTGGTTCTTGTTTATATAGTTGTATAAAAATATTGAAATGAGCACAATTATTTTGTAATTATGTTAATAATTGATGTTCAAAGTCACAAAAACTTGCAATTTGTTTGCACTTTAATATGCATATGTATGAACGATTTTTATAGTTAAGACTTGAATATTTAATACATAGTTTTTCATAAGCATTTCATACTGAAACCTAAAAAATATTTAAGTATAATTAAACTTGAATATATCTTTATTAGTGACCCACTCAACACCTTTTATACAGCAGAATGGTTTTCACTTGCACACATATTTTCTTTGTGACTTATGTTAGTGATAACATTCATGTTAAACTAGAATCTAGTGACTAGATTTGAAAAACTTTTTGCTGACTTTCTCTTGTATGCCATAATTACTACAATAAATGGGATATTAAGAATATTATTATTTTTAAATACATTCTTATAGCTATCATATATCATATTATTTAATCTTATATTATTATAAATAGCTAGAAGTTGATGAGTATCGCAACTACAATAAAGCAGTAGGAGCTTTATCAGAAGCTTTAAAAGTGTTGTCTAAAAATTGTGATCAATATAAAACACTAATAGAAGACATTGCAAAAAAAATAACTTTGGTAAAAAAATTTCTTGATGTTAAAAGGTAAAACCCATAAGTTCAATTTTTTTTTTAATTCATAATTTATTAATTTATTTTATTCATTATATTATTACTTAGACAAATTGACAATGGTGGTGGCGATTCAGCTATGACATTATGTCGACAAATTTTGTCAGCTCCAAATATGGATATACTTAGATATGGTGATGTATATTCAATGATGATAGAATATTATACCATTCAAGGTGACAATAAAACAGCAGTTCAATTAGTGAATGAACTTTTAGCTCGCACACAACAAAAAGATAATTTACTTTTCTATATTGATAAAGGTTAGCATTAATATTCAGTTTATTATTTAAAAATAAATCGTTTTAACAAATTAATTGGTAGAAATGATAATTTTATTAATTATTGAATAATTTATATGAATTTATAAATTTATTGTATTCAAATTTTCTATTAATTATTATGGTATATTTAATAATATTTTATACCTAACAATTATATGGAACAATATTTTTCAATCTATAATTTGTAAGAAAGTTTATGTTTTTTAAAAATATCTTAAAAATTACCTAAAAGCTTTTAACCACTTATCTTGAACATTTTTTGGATCTATTTTTTTGTTACGTTAAACAATGTGGAAATTACTATAGATTTTCTGTGGACAAATTGGGTTTCAATATCAAAACAATTAAAAAACACTAATTTAGATTTTCATTTTATTATTATCATAATATTTAATCTTTTAAAATATATTTAACACAACAGCTTTATTGTCATGCTAATAATAATTTTTATGATAATATATCAACACTAAGCATTTAGTTTTAAAATTCAAATTTAACTTTTTAAAAATGTATAAAATGAATAATAGTATAGTATGTGACTTTAATTATACAATTTGGTTTGTATTTATGTGTATTTTTTTTATTGGATTACACTATTTAATCAATATTAGTAAGTATAATAAGCTTAACAACAAACAGCAATTAATAAAATAACATAAGATAATGGTTATGACTAGAGTACGGATTTTTATGCACTAAAAAATATCGAAATATGTCATATAATATGCAGTAAAAATCATAAAAATATGCAAGAAAATTTTTTTTTTATTTATTTAAAATTTACAATAGTTAATTACTTATTTAAACTAAGTACATAAAAAATTTTCATTTTAATATGCAATATATTTCAAATTTTATAAAAATATATAGAAATGTACAATTAAAATTTCACCATTAAATTCAAATTCTTATGATTTGTAAAGATGACTGAAAAAAAAATCTAAAAAAAATGAAAAAGAAAATAATAAGCTATTGCATATAAATCCATGCTATGATTATAATTTAATGCCAAAAAATTATTTTTAATATTTCTACTTGACAAAATGTTATTTTACATAATTTTTTTTTAAATTTTTGCTTTAATATGCAATATATTTCAAATTTTCTAGAAATATGCAATAACCATTAAATATGCAGAAATATGCTTAAAAAAAAATTCACCATTAAATTCAAATTGTAAGGATAATTGACAAAAATCCAAAAAATTAAAAGGAAAAAAATATGCAATTGCATAGAAATCTGTGCTCTAGTTATGACATTTTAAATGGAATAGCTTTTTACTAACTGTATCTTTAATGTTTAATTTGTGTAAGTTATTTTTATGTTTATCAAACTTCATATTATGGTGACATACTATTAAATTAAAATATTTCATACTTTGTGATTCACAATAATAAAAAAAAAAAAAGAATAATGGGTAATATTTAATTTTAATTTGTAATATAAAATATATAAAATATTTCAATAAGACACTTTTGGACTTATTTGGGGACACACTATTATCTTAAGATATACTGGTTAAAAAACAATGAGTTATTTGTTAGTTAGGTCAAAATATCACTTCTTCGACCTAAGGTATAATTAATGTGGTAATATTCAATGCAGTCAATTATATTGGTAATTTATATTATGTTAACATATATTTTTAGAACTTTATTGAAAAACATATCAGCATAATTTTTATAAATAGTAACACTGAACTATAAATACCTACTCAATAAAAATCCTCTCCATTGAGGGACCTTTGGTCCAAATTTCGGAATGTGTACTTACATATAGTTTTAATTGATATTTATTAAATATTCTGTACGATATTTAATAAATCTGATTAGTCAGTCATTACAATCGTTGTTCGATGGTAGACTATTTATAAAAATATAAACAATAAAAGCACATTCATTGTTATTAAATTAAATATTATATTAATGTTAAGGTATTCAGTTATTGCAGTAGAGTTATTATGTTCATTTAAGTATGAAACACTTTCTTTCTTTATGAAATAATATGTTTCAGTACATTTATAAAATATAATTATAGCATTTACATAGATAGTACTAAATGTTGATATTTTTAGCATAATTAAAAAATAAACTTAAGTATTGTAAAACAAAAACAAAGTAAAAACTTAAGCACATAGTATATTAAAAGTTAGATGATAAATCATATTTTATTTTAATGTATAAAATACATAACAGATGACAAATATCAATAAAAAAAAACATACAAATCTAAGGTTCCTATGCTTACTACAATATATTATCATTATTTTTGTTTAAAAATTATGTCAAATCTTAAGGCATCAACTTAACTTGAGCTGATTTAATTATGTTAATAATAGCATAATTTTAACTGTCTATAAATTATGTTTCAAAATTATTCACAATAATGTTTAAATTAGAATTCTTAAAGAAAAACACTATGTTACTATATTACAAATACATACAATGATCCATTGGTTTTTTTTTTTTTTTTTTTTTTTTGTTTTAGAAATTCTACAAAAATTAGGATTTCAAAAAGAATCTATAACAGAAAATAGCATTGATGAAGAAGAAGAAATCCCTGAAGCATAAATTTACTGATGTTTTTTTAGCTATTAATGTTAAAATAATGTACTATAAAATATTTAGTATAGTCAAAACTACATTGTTTTACTTTTTTAGGTATTGTTATTAATTAAAGTTCTAACATTAAATTGTAAATAGTTATAGCAATTATAACAACATTATTTTATGTTTTTAGAAGAGATCTCTTAATTTAAACTGTATCATCAATTAATGTGGTTGCATAACAGACAGTTCATCATTTTATTATTATTTTTAAATTGTGTACTAAATATTTTAAAGTAAATATTATATAGATAAAATAATGAAAAATTATTATAAAGCATACTTGCTGAAGATTCTTAACGATTCAAATTTGTTTTTTTTTTTTTTATCTCCTTTAAGTCTTACTGCTTATATTGTCTTATTTTACTATTCTTTAATATGTAATAAGTATGTTTATAGTGAATCTGGTTATCTGTTTTATATGTCTAATTATTGAAATTTATAATGTTCAATTGACTCACACAATTACACGAGTCAACTTTTTATTAAATTATTATTATTTATTAAGTTTAATAAATCTAATGTATTAAACACATATTTTGGAGATTAAGGTCATTAGTACATTTTTTTTTTAGTATTAAAATGTGAACCCTATGTTAATTGAACTATTATCATTGCTTAAAAATTATAGTTATTAATACAATGATATAATTACACGATCATAACTTGGAAATGCATAGCCAAATTTCCAAATAGGACAATAATTACTATTTACTAATTTAAGATAAAACAAATTTTGTTATTTTAAAACGTTTTAATAATACTTAAAATAATATATTTATTCTATTGAATATTATATAATTAACATAATACAAGAATATAATAAATGCAGAATAAAACATTCAAATTATAATTCATTTTTAGGAAATGTACTAAATCATATAGTAAAGATTTTATTGAGGCTAACACACCATGTAACATTTAACTGTTAATTTAAAAATAATAATTTAATACTACAGTAATATATCTATATAATAGTTTTAAAAAAAAATAAGTGTTAAGTGACTAGCTATAATGAAGGTAGATACTAAACAGTGATTTAATGCATAACCCATGCATTCCAATAATATCAACTTGCCTAATTAATTTAAATGTCTTCCATGACTTAGTTAAATTTATTTATATATAAAAATTAAAAAGCATTAAGATTATTACAAATGTATAAAAAGTTCAACATTCGAAATTAACACATACAGCTACTTTCAGACTCTTGTGAGTCTCCCTGATTGGCCGCATGATTCTGTAAATCGACAGCTATGTAATGTGTTAAGGATAGTAAGAAAAAAATTAATGCATACAAAATTCAAAATTATAAAATATATTTACAATTACATTAACCAAACTACTATTAGTTAAAAATTATAACGGTGAAATAAATAAAAATAATTGTTTACAAAACAATAATAATGTAGCATTTATTTAAAGCTCTGGGAATGTTCAGCGATGTGAAAATATTATCTTTTAATTGTTACTCATTCATTATATTATAGTTACCAATTAAAGGTTTATTTATAATTAGATGTATTATTTTAATTAGTTTCTGGTCTTACTTGTTTAATATTTATATGAATATTTTGAATCATGGTCCAAGACCAGAATTATTTCATTAATATAAAAAAAAATAAATTGTTAGTCTTCAGTTTTAGACTTTATTACATGTAATAAAAAATTGGATGGATTTAAATGATATAAGTTTAACTATAAATTATATATTAGCATGCACAACTCTTCTCTGGATTTGCTGCATCATTCGGTGTATCTTTAAGCACGACTTCTTGCACTGAAAACAAGCAATAGTTAAGGAAACAAACATGCCACAAAAGAAAAGAGAAAATACCATAATTTTCATAAAAATAACTGATAGACCATAAAAAAAAAAAAAAAAAAACAATCAAGTAATATTTACTATAAATTGTCATTTTGATACTTAGTAAATTATTTTTTTTTTTTGTAAATAAATATTAATCATTTGCGATTAAGTTTGAAAATTACAATATGTTTATAAAACATATTATAGTAGGGGTCACCAAATGGCAGTTCACAAAAAAAGAATAATTTTTCAAATATTTGTATGTAATATTACTAAACAATTTTCTATTTTTATTGTATTTATAATTAGTTTTTATTTAAAATTTTTTAAGTATTTGTAATATTAGTTAAATTCTTATTGTTTATAAACAATAGCAAATAATAAATTTAAAAATATAATGTTCTCATTATATCCATTTAAAAAAAATACCTATTATATGTTAAAAATATAAACTTAGAATTTTGTTGGCCCGCAAAATATTTACAGATTTCTAATATGGGCCTTCAAAAATATTAATTGGTGATTCCTGTTATTAAGTATAGTATCTTCAAACTATAAATAACATAAACAAATTACATGCCCATCCTAATTTATGTTCATTCCAATAAAAGTTTTATTTGACGTGGAGCCGGGGTCTCACTATGAGAGAGACTATGACTTTAAAAATATTATGTTTTTGAAGTACGAGTAAAATGATTTAATAACAAATATATATATTAAAAAAATAAATACGTTATATTTAAAAACCTACAAATTAATAATAAAAAGTTTTTCAATACTTTTTCAAAGTATTTGAGTAGTAAATAAAATATTTTAAGAAAAAAGTGTGAGTAACATTTTTAATAAAAACTTGAAAAAGATAAATATATTTTCTTACCTAAATACTTTATAAAAGAACTCTTTACAACATAACAAAAATGTATGATGTTCTTGTATTCTTATCATCTGTGTATAACTATATTTGGGTACACGTGTCATACGCTATTTATTTAAAGTTTTAGATGTTTGTGATTTTTATACCAATACAAATATAAATGTAAATCAAAATAATATTAGAAGTATACTAAAATAATACATAAAAGCATATGAAATTAAATAAAAATATGCATGCCGTGCTACAAAAGCTATATAAAATATTTTGAAAGGATACTGTCTTCAGGTGGTCGATTCTCAGCTACATCCATACCAGGTAATGCTGCTGCCACTCTTCTGAATAACTAAATACAAATAAAAATGCATAACTGTTGTTATAAGGATTATTAATCAACACCAACTTGTTTAACATTGTAACCAGCTTTAGCACTAGTTTCAATAAACATGACATTTAACTCCTTTGCCTTATGTTCACCATCTTCAGCTAATACTTGTCGTTTGTCCGTTAAATCAGTTTTGTTACCAACTAACATTATTATGACATCACTACCACGTTCGGTTCGAACATCATCTATCCATTTTGATGTTTGGTGAAAAGAATTGGCATCTAAATAAAATTATATTTTATTGCAAACAAGTTTAATTAAGTTACAAAAATTTAAAATATGTTATTACTTGTTATATCATATACAACAACAGCAACAGTAGAATCTCTAATATAGGAAGGAATAAGACTTCTGAATCTTTCTTGTCCTGCTGTATCCCATAGCTGTAATCTTACCTGAATAAATATTAATTAAAATTAAAACTAATAACCTTCTCAATAATTTTTTTAAAGTTTGTTAAAATATTAAATATATTATTGAGATGCATAACAGGAAAATAACTTATTTTCAATGGCTCTTATTTTTGGAAAATATAGAATTTAATACTTTTATTTAGCTTGAAATCATTAATGATATTTAAATATTTATTATATATAAGACCGTATCTATGAAATGTCTAAAACTCTGTTACAATTCTAGTCTAAAATTATAAGTTAATATATATTTTAATACTCCCTTAAGTACAAAACTAAAATTCTATTTAATTATTTAGTAATAATAAATTACAAAGGAGAGATTCACAAACTAATAAAACTAGTTAATCTTGATTTTCTAAGCAAACCATATATTACAAATTAAAGAATAAATTATGTGTTATTTATTTTGTAAAGCTACATAGTTTAATTTTGTTATCTTGAAATAATAACTCTTACAAACAAAATTACTTTTTATTATCATATTACTAAATTCTATGATACTACAAAAAAATTCAACTAAAAGTAACTATATTTTATAACCGATTTGGTTATATTTGAAACTGAACAGCGATGGTAATAAAATATTATTATACAAGCATTTCAGTAAATTTCTCAATGCATAGCAACTTATAAATCTTAGTATAAATGAACCTCTACATTAAATTCATAGTTAAACTACTTAACCAATTAACCAAAAAACACTATACATTAAATATTATCAAACAAATAATAATAAAAAAAAAAAAATGGTTTCTATTACTAGATAGTGTCTATCTTTAAATAATATTATTGTTCAATTTTATAATATACATATGAAAAATTTATCTTATTTGCTTATTGTGCTGAAACATAGATTATAAATAATATTCTTTCGATGAATAAAACTATTTATTTATTTTATAAGTGTAAATGGTTTAACAAAGAAATTATTAGCCTATTATAATACTTTTAATAATTTTGCGACGAGATAAGATAAGTGAAACATATCAATTATTTTGGAGATGATTGAATTAAACTATAATGCCATGCTAAGCAAGATATCTATTATTTAGATTAAGAATATCCATTCATTTTTGGAATAAAAGTTACTGAATTAAACATATATTTTTATTAAAAGTTTAATAAATTGTAAATGTCATTTTAATTTGAAAAAATATACCTAGTATATTTTATTGATACTAAAATGGGAACACATGAGGTATTAAAAATCTAAATTAATTAAAACATGGCATACGCACAATTATATTTTCATTATGAATCAAAAGCAAATTAATATTTTTGTATTGAATTTATAACAATTGTTCTTTTTTTTTTTTTTTTTTTGATAAAGTTCTTAGATTTTATAGATAGGTACTTAAATATAGTTAATAATTAATAATCATATGTTCATTGATATTAGTTTGAAAAAAAACTAGTAGTGATACAGCTTAGAATATTATCTAATTTTTTTTTTGAAAAAGAACTGATAACATTTTTTATTATCTTACAATTATTTATTTTCTATAAAATTAATTTGATAAATAGAGAAAAAATTCCTTAAGTGTTTTACAGTCTAATAACGAAAGAGCTAATTTTATATATATTTCATAAATACTATAGGTACATAAAATTTTGAAATATACAAAAAAGGTTCTATCAAAATTTAAAAATAAAATGAAGAATTTTCTATATTACTTAATTTCAGGTTTTTCATTTTATTATATAGCTATAATTAATAACTAGATGTAGTTAGTACATAATTACAATAATAATATGTATGATAAGTCTACCACTAAAAAAATATTATCTTTAAGGAGATTAATATCTAAGTTTTTATTAACTACATATTCACTACACTTATTAAATCATAATCATAGTACTGAATTTGAAATAATAATTTTAAAGACTAATTAAAAAAATATTTTTATTACATGAATCTGAAATAAAAACTACTCACAGTTCTATCTTCAAGATACATAGTTTTAGACAAAAAATCAATACCAATGGTGGCCTGTTAACACAAAGACATAAGTAAATTATTTCTTGCACAACTTGATTGGTTTTAGATATCTTTATATAAACTTAAGTTTACCTGGTAAGTATTATCGAAACTATCATACATAAATCTTGTGATGAGTGACGTTTTACCAACTATAAAAACAAAAGTAATCTTATTTATGAAAAAGTTAAATACTTGATATATAATTAACAAAAATTAAATTGATTAATTGAGTTAATCGTACCACTTTGTTCGCCCAAAAACACCAGTTTGAACTTCCTAAGAGGATTACCAAAATCTCCGGAAGATGACATACTTAACAAGATTATTTTAATTTTTATGTAATATTAACTAATTATTAATGGCTACCACAACATGATTATGCGAAAAACAAAATCAGTATTCATAAAACAATTGTTTAATATTAGCATTAAACAATTGTTTTATTGAAGAATGATACAAATATTACATATACTAAATATTAGTATAGTGTACTTGTGAATAAAAAATGAAAAGATTAAAAAATTACAATCTTTTTTTATTGAAGAGTATAAAACTATAGACTAATAAACGCCACGTTCGAGTGTAATCACACATTCACATCGTAGCCATTTTGATTTGATTATCCACATTAACACACAGCTGATATTTTTACCAGGGTTGTGGTAAGAGAACTCCCGAATTGTGTTATCAAAATACTTTGAACTTTGTAGAAAGGAGAGATAAAATATAATTTTTTGACATTTTGAAGGGCATAACAAATTATACCCATAATTCATATTTTATCGTTTATCGTTCATTTTTCCGTTTATAGTAAAAACATTACAAACTACATTGAATCTGGCTTAAAATTTATAACTTCTGATTTCTTAAAGTATTTTTCACGTGATCAAAATGCAATCAAATATTTTTAGTAGATTTTCAATGGCTATAAAGGTTTGTATTTGTTGTGTACATACATATTTGTATATGCAACTAAAGATTGAACTATCTATTTATGTTTAGCCAACTATACTACAAAAGACTAAACACATTGAGAGCAGTTTTATATACTCTGTTGTTAATCGTCGTTATGCGAGTGGTGATGCTGTAGATTTAGTTGTTATTGGTTCTGGACCTGGGGGTTATGTTGCTGCTATTAAAGCAGCACAGTTGGGATTAAATGTAAGTGTGAATTTAATACTTTCATCAATAAATCTTTGTTCAATCGTATTTCTTATTTTGTTGTCTATAGACCGTTTGTGTTGAAAAAAATCCTACACTCGGTGGCACTTGTCTGAATGTTGGTTGCATTCCTTCTAAAGCACTGCTGAATAACTCACATTATTATCACATGGCACATTCTGGTGATCTTAATTCACGAGGAATTGAAGGTAAGTTAGTTTTAGTTATAATCATGTAATTAATTGTTATATACTAATAATTATTTATGATCTGTACTAATATTTTCCAATACCTATGTCTTAGTTGAAAATGTCAAGCTTAACCTAGAATCATTAATGCAAACAAAAACAAATGCTGTAAACGCATTGACTGGTGGAATTGCTCATTTATTTAAATCAAATAAAATAACATTAGCCAAAGGCCATGGTAAAATTAAGGACCCAAATACAGTATCTGTATTGAAAGAAGATGGATCTTCAGAAGATATTAAAACTAAAAATATACTTATCGCTACAGGTTCTGAAGTCACTCCTTTTCCAGGAATTGATGTAAGTTCAAACAACTTTGATATAATCATACATTTATTTGTGTAAAAAAAAGTATTAACTTTTGTTTTTAGATTGATGAAGAAACTGTAGTTTCTTCAACAGGTGCTTTAAAACTTGCAAAAGTTCCTGAAAAAATGATTGTTATTGGTGCTGGTGTTATAGGACTTGAGCTAGTGAGTTAAATTAAGAAAATAATGATAATCTAAGTAATAATTATTTTCTGGAATTTATTAGGGATCTGTTTGGAGTCGTTTAGGATCAAAAGTAACTGCTGTTGAATTTATGCCTACAATTGGCGGTGTTGGAATTGATGGTGAAGTGTCTAAACAGTTTCAAAAAATATTGACCAAGCAAGGCTTAAGTTTTAAATTGGGAACTAAAGTAATTAGTGCAAGTAAATCTGGAGGACAAATATTGGTCGAAGTTGAGAATGCTAAAGATTCTTCAAAAAAAGAGACGGTGGGTAATAATTTAAATACTTATTCATTTGCATAGTATTTTAATGATTTTTCAATGTTTAGTTGGACTGTGATGTATTACTTGTGAGTGTTGGTCGTCGACCTTATACACAAAATTTAGGTTTAGAAGAAAATAGTATTGAGAAGGACGCTAAAGGAAGAATACCTGTAAATTCTAGGTTTCAAACGGTTATACCTAAGTATGTAATGATATTGTTATATATTGCTTACATTCATAAGTACTCATTTTAACTAATTTAAAATGTATTTTTAGTATATTTGCTATTGGAGATTGTATCCATGGTCCAATGTTGGCTCATAAAGCTGAAGACGAAGGTATAGTTTGTGTTGAAGGTATAACAGGTGCACCAGTACATATTGATTACAACTGTGTACCTTCAGTTATATATACTCACCCAGAAGTAGCATGGGTTGGAAAAAGTGAAGAAGACTTGAAAAAAGAAGTAATTTTGTACATATAGATTAATTTGAATTAGCTTATTTTTTTCTGTTAAATTATGTTTACAGGGTATTGATTATAAGATAGGAAAATTCCCATTTGCAGCCAACAGTAGAGCTAAAACAAACAATGAAACTGAAGGTTTCATTAAAGTACTCGGTGATAAAGTTACTGATAAATTATTAGGATGTCACTTAATTGGACCTGTAATATTCTTATAAATATATTATAATTTTCTAGTATTTATAAAGCTATATTTATAGGGTGTTGGAGAGATAGTTAATGAAGCTGTTTTAGCAATGGAATATGGAGCATCTTGTGAAGATATTGCTAGAGTTTGCCATGCCCATCCAGTAATTTTTATTTTCTCATTTATTAATCATTAATAAATAATAACATACCTTAATTATATAAATATATTTTTTAATTTTAGACGTGTTCGGAAGCATTAAGAGAGGCAAATTTAGCTGCATATTTTGGTAAAACTATTAATTTTGGTTAAACTGTTTTGTTATTCCACAAATGAACAGTCTTCAAACCAAATACAGTGTAAAAAAGTTCATCAATATATTTTAGATTAATTCTCACTTAAAATAAAATTTGGCTTCTTTTTGTTTAATTATAATAAAATCCCACTTTATTAGATGTCACAAATTTAGTTATAAATGAATTGCAATTCAATATTCATATGTTGCTAAAAATTAAACAAAATAGTGTTGATGAATCGAGTTAAAAATAAATTAACCATTTTCCTTTAAACTGTATATGTGATATGTTGTTTCTTTATGTATTGTGGATATATTTATAATATTTTTTTTTAACAAAAACTATACTTATAAATTATTAATAAAATTATTTTTAATGTTAGGTACTCCAATAATCACTTATGTTTATAATTCTTTGCCCTGGCACAGGTTTTATTATTACTATGTAAGTGTTTATATTTATAATAAATAGTAAGACAAATTTGGAGATAATGTATCAAGTTTTATTATCAGAATCAAATGTCTTTGATTCACTTTAAAATAATGTTAACATTTTACAAAATGGAATGTTATTGCCTTTATAACATAACCATAATATCATACTATATAATAATGTTTTAATCAAGTTTATGTTAAAAATTGTAATATTACAAAAATGTCAAAAATCATTTAAATTTATTAGTCAATAAAATCTTAAACTTAATGAGATACAGACAACAATATTTCTAGAACCAGAAGTTAAAGTTTCTTTGTGATAGAATATTTTAAGGAAGTACTTAATGATAGTATTGGTGTCATAACGAGAAGATCCTCTGGAGTAAAAACTGAAGAAAATTGTTGGGGGATAGTTTTCAGTTATCTTAAGAACTGGCAATGCTTTTTGGTCAGATGAAAAGTTAGCTGAAATTAAACAATGGTAAAATTAGTTACATAATAAAATTTATAATTTATACTGAAACATGAAACAAGGAAAAACTATCAGACCAATGTAATAGTTATAGTTATCTCTTTAGCATTTGTAAAAGAAAGGAGACAAGTTGAGCTATGACAATTTTATCACAAAGGATAATTTCTACTGAATTCACTACCTATTACCTATATAAAATATTGTACAAATAAATTGAGTCATTAAAAGAGGTTAGAAGACTTAAGTGTATATATGACTGTATGGAATACCATTGTGGGTTCTGGAAAAGCAAATCACCAATTGACCAACTTGTAATGTATGAATATTCAGATTAAACGTAATACAAATATTTGTGAATTTAAAAAAAAATACCTATCACAAATTTTATGTTAATGTTTAATATGAGATTTTTTGGGGAAAATGAGTAGAAATCAAAGCTGAATCATATATCAAGTTACCATGGACAACACTATCAGATGAGTTTTAGGAGTTATAACTATGAAATAACAACTGGCTTAAACAAGGTATTATATTACACCATTATTATTTAACATAGCATTGGAGAAAAAGTCACTTATTCAATTTGTCTAGGCTATTAATATTAAGAAATGTAGGCTGGTATAATGCTATTTTTATAATACCTACTATAACATATCTCCAGTCTACATTCAATATTGTCATTTGTCACATGTTATGATATATTATTAAATTAAAATCTACCATAAAGATAATTTTTGGAGCATTATATTAGTAAGCTACTGGTAAAGATTAAAGATTTTTTTTTAAATTTTAATGACAACATACTGCAAGTGACTCCAAAAAAGTTCCCATCCTTATATTAAACATTTAGATTTTAGCATTGATTATAGATAGGTAGATACTGACTATTTGCACGGCACACTGATTATTTATATTCATTACTCTCCCACTTTTAGATTTATGAGAAGAGAAGAATTTATTTATTTTACACTAATGTGTGCAGTTTTTTAATGTGTGATTTTTCTTTCATCATTTTTTTTTTTATTTCTGAATCCGCCACTGGCATTATTATGACACCCTACCCCCAAATAAGTTTGTAAATACGCCACTGGATAACATTTTCAAAAACATTTTTCAAGCAACTAACAGGCATTACAAATTTTAAATTTTTTAAAATTTATTTTCTTTAGTTGTTGTTTTTTTTTTTTTATTATATACACAATCTGTAGTCTATACCTCATGGGTATAATAACTAATAAGAGTATTAGCTAAGAGCCTAAGATAATATAATACATGAACAGGCTTGATAAAAGCAGCCACCCAGTGATGACACTTAAAAATTGAGGTTATACATTAATTTATATATATATATATATATATATGAATTTATTTATTTTTAGTTGTCGTTAAATAGTTATTCGCTGGTTCAAAATTTTAGATAATTTATTACGATATTCCACTTAAGTTTGTCATTTATCGTTTTATCTATGTAAAAATATTAAAAATACGGTTGCCCAATATTTGTATGCGCTTATGAAGTCAAAATTATAAAAAATGCTATTTTGTAGTTAAAAAATTCACTCTTTGTTTTGTTTTTAAATTTTGAAAATATAATACATGATTCCTTATAAGTAGTTCATTCCTTATTGAATTCAAATTAAATACGATCATAAATCATTAAAATTCATTATTAAAAATGCTCTCTAGTTTTCATTAGGTTTTGTTGTGCAATGTGCTTAATTATAATATTTATTAATTAATAATTATTTATTTTTAATAAAATCTAGTACCTATTACATTATTATAGTTTGTTCACTGTTTGTGAAATTGCAAAGAGTAAATATATATAACATAACCATGGTTAACTATTGTAAACAGTAAGTTTTGTGTTATATAGTTGTGTATTGTGCTAGTCATCGTGATAAGACAAACCGTGACTTGTGAATGGTGAACTACTGAACTGGTGAAACTTAAGGGTCGACAATACTTCTTGAAAATACGAATAAAAGAACTATTTTATACTGTTTATTTTTTCCCTTTAAAATTGAAATTCTAGTTTTAAAAATTTCATATAATACAACTATTTTTTTTTTCGACTAACTAATTACATTAACATGTCATCGGCAATCGTAGTTGATCCTGTAAGGGAGAAGATTCTACAGGAAAATCGTAAAAAGCTTATTGAACATAAAGAGATTTCTAGCCGTCTAAAAGGAAGTAAGTAAAATATTTTATTTTTAAGCATAATGTTTTAGATTCTCTGCGGAGCAATGGGGTTTTTTTTCGTGCATTTGTGGTAAGTAGTCAATAAAACGCTTCTATTTTCAACTATGACGGTGACTTTGGATAACATTGGATCTAGTTAATACTATAATAAAATAAATGTAATACATTCATAGCACTTTTAAAATGGGTAAAAACAAACAACAAATTAAGAAATAAATAGAATTTTCATGCTTAACCAACCAGATTTTGACCAAATTGTTTTCTTTATTTTATTATAATTTAAAAACGAATATCCGTAAAGATTTGAGATCTTCATTAAGTATTTATATTTAATGTATATGATATCACTTTCTTAATATTTTTATTCGTTTTAAGCTATTTATAGTTATGAGAAATTTTCAATTTTTCTATGAATGTTAATAAAAAAATATTTGATGGGTCAAGATTCTTGAAAATTTAATTAATACATTTGCACAAATTTGTATATGCATTTGAAGTTAGTTATTACAACATTTGTTTTAATCACAAAAATCACAATAAAAAAATTATAAAATCTTTTGTATTCTCCTTAAGCATTTTCTATTGGAACTGTACAATTATTTTTTAAAGTTATTTGATTATGTTCAAATTTGAACAAAATTTTGTCTGTAATAATAAATAACTATGTTAACTATTTTTTTTATAAATCATAAACATTATTCGTGGGGAATTTAAAACTGATACTTATTATTTTATTATATAGAATGACTTAAATAATAAAATGTGGTTTATATATATTTATTAATTTTAATAATATAAAATACGCAATGTTTTCATTAAATATTGAATCATCCTACCGAAAATAAATAATTAATAGCTATATCAAAAATGAAATAAGCTGAGAGACCATCTACTCTCAAAATTGTTTTTAGTCTATAATAATATTTCATTGAATTTAAATTGAATACACTCATTATAGTGATCTACTTGACACTAATGTTTAGCAAGTAGTACCTACTAGTAGTTTACTTTTTTTCTTTTTTTTTATTGTAGTATCTTTTTATTCAAAAAAGTGTTTATTTTTGTTTATATTTGTTAATAATGTTTATATTATTTATTCTGTGATACAAATAACAGGTTTTTAATTTCTAACAAATAATTATTAAAAAAAAAAAATTATAAAAATAAAAAAAATAATTTGTTTTATCAATCTTAATGGAAATTTAAAGACTATTAAATTATTAGTATTAAAATATTAAAAGCAAATTTTAAATTTGCTAAGAATTTAAGTCTTGTTAAATATTTAAACGTTTCTATAATAATTCATTAAAAGCTGATTTTTTATACTTATAACTTATATTGTTTACTTTTTGATAAAAAATTATTATTGTTTGTGAGAAAAAAATGTCTAGATAAAATTTAAGCTACTTACTATGCAACATTTAAATAAACATATATTTTCATTTCTGTGTATTTAATAAGAAACATAATATAACATTATTAGATTGCATTTATAATATTATCATGACTGTTATTTTATTCAATTAACTAATTTTAAAGTCTTAGGTATATTTTAGTATCTGATATACTATTTGTTTACTTAACAGTGCGAGAACAAGCAAAAGAACTAACAAAACAATATGATAAATCTGAAAATGATTTAAAAGCTCTTCAAAGTGTTGGTCAAGTAAGTTAAACATTTTATCTATACTAAAATTGAATATTTATCCTAAACTATTATTTTTAGATTGTAGGTGAAGTACTAAAACAATTAACTGAAGACAAATGTAAGTTTCTTTAAATTTAAATTGAAGATAAAAATATTTATTAACAGTGATATTAATTTACTAGTTATTGTAAAAGCAACAAATGGCCCACGCTATGTAGTTGGATGTCGACGTCAACTTGATAAAGCAAAATTAAAAGCTGGTACTCGAGTGGCATTAGATATGACTACATTGACTGTTATGCGTTATTTGCCCCGTGAAGTAGATCCATTGGTGTATAAAATGTCTCATGAAGATCCTGGTGAAGTTACATACTCAGCTATTGGTGGATTATCTGAACAAATCCGTGAATTACGAGAAGTATATATTTTTATATTTTTATCTTATATTTAATCAATCTAAAACCTAACATTAATAATTCTAGGTTATTGAATTACCATTGTTAAATCCAGAATTATTCCAACGTGTTGGAATAACTCCTCCTAAGGGCTGTTTACTTTATGGTCCTCCGGGTACTGGAAAAACATTACTGGCTAGAGCTGTAGCTAGTCAACTAGATGCCAATTTCTTAAAAGTTAGTTATTTATTATACAAGTTCAAAATTATCTATTAATATTGTTTCAATGTTTGGTACATTGTTTAACGTTTAATTGATTTATTGATTTTAAAATGTATTTATTATATTATTAAATTATTCTGTATTATTTATTATGTTCCTAAATTTTTAGTAAAATTTATATTTTTAATTTAGGTTGTGTCTAGTGCAATTGTTGATAAATATATTGGTGAGAGTGCTCGTCTCATTCGAGAAATGTTCAATTATGCTAGAGATCATCAACCATGTATCATATTTATGGATGAAATAGATGCTATTGGTGGTCGCCGATTTTCTGAAGGAACATCTGCTGATCGTGAAATCCAAAGAACTCTTATGGAACTTTTGAATCAAATGGATGGTTTTGATTCTTTAGGTCAAGTATGTAATTATTTATTATTTATTATAAAGTTATCAATTTCTTGATTATAATTACTTAATAGGTTAAAATGATTATGGCTACTAATCGACCAGATACATTAGATCCTGCTTTATTAAGACCTGGACGTTTAGATCGTAAAATTGAAATTCCATTACCTAATGAACAAGCTCGTTTGGATATTTTGAAAATACATGCAGCTCCTATTACTAAACAAGGAGAGATTGGTACGTAATTAGCTAGGCTTATTGATACATAATACGTTATTATTTTATAATTACTTTAGATTCATTGGACATAAAATTTAGTTAAAGAGGAAGCTTTATATGTTTATTATATAAACAATTTGATTCTCTATTAAAAAAAAAATGCAATAAATTATTTAGAAAAGAGTTGGCCTTAACAATATTTAAAGATACTATAATAATTTAAAAATTATTTAATGAATATTTCATTACATAAATTACATTAAAAAAGTATTTACTATAGATAGATATACATTTAAAACTAAGAATTTTTTTTTTATATTTTATATTTTTATTTTTACTTGGATGTTTTTCATGTAAATCTGAGATAAAATCTAAATTTTAGATTTTTTTTATGTGGCGAAAGACTATTTAAAAATAAAAAGTAGAAACTATGAGTACTTTATCTATTAAAAATACAATTTATTATTTACTTTCTAATCTAAAAAGAGGGCTACTCTATTTATAGCTTATCAATAATTTTAGTTTTTTAACATTACAATTAATTTAAAAATATTTTATTTTTTTAGATTATGAAGCTATTGTAAAATTATCTGATAATTTTAATGGTGCTGATTTGCGTAATGTGTGTACAGAGGCTGGTCTTTTTGCTATACGTGCTGAAAAAGATTATGTAACTCATGAAGATTTCATGAAAGCTGTAAGAAAAGTATCAGATAATAAGAATTTGGAATCTAAATTAGATTATAAGCCAATATAAATATTTGTATTAGTAAGAAAAAATATTATCAATAATCTACTGGTAAGAGATGTATTTAAAGTATTAACAAAAAAATATGATAATTTTCATCAATAAAACAATAGCATAATTTGTTATGATTACTTGTATACATTTTAAATATTACTTTTGTACTTTGTGTTTGTAATATTGTAAAAGATATCAATAATATTTTCTAAAAACAATTTTTGTGTTTAAGTCGGTAAATATTTGAAAGCTAAATAAAAGTAGTTTTTTAGTTGAAATAAATTTAAGCATCTTTCACAAATGATGATTTTATCTTTTCTAATTTATGTAAATTATATTATCAATACATTTTAACTCTGAAAACAAACATTGATTATTTAATTATATTTTGTCTAGTGCATTTGATTCTTTATGAAAAATTGCATTAATTTATGTAAATAATGCAGAGTCTACACATAGTACCAACAACAAAATAAAACTTTGATTTAACTTTCCTATCACTTACAATTTTCAGAAAGGATGGCTAATCTTTCTATACCAGTGTGTTGACTGTCAAATAATAAATTTAGTTGAATTTTATTTTCTCTGGATTGACAAGTATATGATGATCTTTTATTTTTTTTTTAAAACCTAAAATATTCCTAAGAATTATATTCTTTTAGACAGTTAGGCATTGAAACATACAGGGACTATTTAAATTGTTTTTAAAAAGCTAAATTCATATCATAATTATATTGTCTTTGTGCAGACCAAGCTTAAATCAGTTTATTTCTTTTCAAGAAAAATTGGGTAATTATTAAATTGTTTTTTTTAATTTTTCAATAAAGTCACATTTTTACTACTTGAAACTTATCAACAGTTTAAAAATATCAGGAAGTTGCTCTATTATTGTGTGCTTTGTCTTTGAATAGATAACTATGATAAATGTGTTAAAATTAAATATAATGATAAATTATTGATTCAAAAAAATGATTCTAAGTGATGAAAGTCATTAGCCTATATTTCTTAGGATATTTTATTTTATATTTATATGTTTGCTATTAGTAAATATCTAATCCACTAGTAAGTAATATTCAAAATGGTAAAAAATGTCTACAAATATTTTTTGAATTTCAATATAACAATTACTATTTTTTGCATGAATATATCATGTCGTTTAACTTTAAAAAGCTCATAAGAAATGTTTGATTTTTTTAATTTTTAATAAAAAAACACTGAGGAATCTATAAAGGTACTCTTTGTATTTTATATCTTACATAAAAATGTATGCATTTTTAACTACAAAATAACTTTTAAAGTTTCGTGATATTGACGAATTTTGTAAAAATTGGAATACTTTTAAATAGTATAATGTGTTGCAATGACAAGAAGTGCGCTAGATATGCGGCGGATGACATGTATGTCATTATTGTTGCGCTTGTAAACATAATATGAATAATATAATATTATATAGTAGTTATATCCTTACTTGTAACTGTTAAGCTATAATAATGTATATTGGTAGCTTAAATAACAATAAAAAATAAAAATATTATATGTTGAGTATGGCGACGTCTGTGCCACAGAATAAATCTGTGCATCCTTTGATAACGTTTCTAATTACTAATAATTAATGACATCAGTATGACAGTATAAAATGGTTAAAATGAACTGTTATTAGTGTTATTCAATTAGCGTTCTCCCAAAGTTGAGAAATTTTTTGCAGTAAATGCCCTAAAAAAGCAATACGTTTAAATACAGATTATACAAAATTATGTTTATGATTATCATTTATCAGTTACCCATAATCGAGATATCAAAAATTAATATAATGTTTCTTATCATGCTACAAAAAACTTACGTGTGTAAAAAAATTCTTAATTTTAAAAGTTATTATTTCAATTTTAAACTCAATTTTCAGAACTATTAAATAGTTAACTACAATTTTATTATAGTTGTTAAAAGTCGAACAGTTTATACTTAGTTTCAATCAATGATTGGAAATTAATGTACGTTTTTCACTTCAAGTCGAATGAACGAATTCTTGGGTGAGACATAATTAATTTACTACCTACCTATAGTAAATGAACCATTCAATCACTGTGAATCATTACAATTTAAAATAATGACGTTTTGTATTAAATTGAATATTAAACAAATACATTCAATAAATTATTTAGGAGTTGTATTGATCACTAATTTTTTTTTTTTTTATTGTCACTAAATAGAATGTTAACAATTTTTTTCTTAATTGTAGTGTTTTTATGTCCACTTCATTGATACTAATATGGTTTATATGAACAAAATGTTGTATGATTGGATGATGCAGAAAATACCGTGAGCATAGTAAAATAGTTATGTAAATAATTTGTGTCAAATAAACATTAACCGTAAATATGGAATTCAGTACACATTTTATGTTTGATGTCTTAGTAATTTTACTTTCACAGACTGTATTCTTTATGTGTGGTTGGGTATATTTTGTCAAGAAACTATTTAAAGATTATGAAGTGCATCATAAAACAATTCAACTAATATTCTCAGTCACTTTTTGTTTATCCTGTACAATGTTTGAATTAATCATATTCGAAATTGTTGGTATACTAGTCCCCAGCTCTCGCTATATATTTTGGAATATAATACTTTACAAGATGCTATTTATGGTTGTTGTACTTATACCATTTTACTTATGTTATTTTACTTTGAGTAATATGTACCCATTTTTTCAAAAAAAAGTTGGAATTTTGGCGTCGGTTATTTGGATATTATACTTATTCTTATTTTGGAAAATTGGTGATCCATTTCCTATGTTACCTCAAGAGAAAAAAGGCCATTTATTTATAGAAAACTGCATCAGCAGAATTGGTGTGATTGGTGTAACAGTCATGGCATTATTATCTGGTTTTGGTGCTGTTAACTACCCTTATACTTCAATGGCATATTTTATAAAAGCAGTCACTGGAGATGATGTCATAAATGTGGAAAAACAACTTCTTCAAACAATAGATGTTGTTACTGCTAAGAAAAAAAAAATTTTATTGGCAGAAACTAATGCTGGTGTAAGCACTTTTGGATTTATGGATATGTTAAAAAGAGTCAAGTCCAATGTATCCAGTGATTTAAGAGGAATTAAAAGTGATATTAAAGCATTAGAAGAGCTTAGTAGACATTTATTTTTGGACACACATGATCTGAATAATACTCTGGAACGTACTGCTTGGGCCAAAACATGGAAAGGGAAATATTTCAATTTTCTAGGTTATTTTTTCTCATTATATTGTGTATGGAAAATAATTATATCCACATTAAATATAATGTTACAAAGAGTGGGAAAAAAAGATCCAGTTACAAGAGGAATGGAGATTTTAGTGGAATTGGTTGGCATTGATGTTGATGTATCATTTTGGTCGCAACATGTATCATTTTTATTGGTTGGATGTATTGCATTTACTTCAATAAGAGGTCTCCTATTAACTTTAACCAAGTTTTTCTATGCATTGTCTAGCAGTAAATCATCAAATATTATTGTTTTAATATTTGCTCAACTTATGGGTATGTATTTTGTATCATCCGTATTATTAATGCGTATGAACATGCCAGCTGAATACAGAGCTATTATTACAGAAGTACTTGGTGATCTACAGTTTAGTTTTTATCATCGTTGGTTTGATGTTATATTTTTAGTCAGTGCAGTATCATCTCTAACATTTTTAACGTTTGCTCATAAACAAAGTAAGGTAGACCTACCCCCTATGATTTAATGTTTAATTATTATTCAATTTGATGTATTTTATATTTATATATACCAAATATATACCTAATGATTGTAACTATTGAATGTGATTTATATATAAAAAATAAACAACTATTTGTTAGTATTAATAAGTGATAAGTTAAATACTTAAATCTAATTTTATATTATTTATGTGTAATTAATAGAATACTTTATTTTTCTGTTAATATTTTTTATAAATGTATTCTAAATGATCTCATAAATGGTTAAAAATGATGTATGTATAAGTATAAAATAAATATTACTTAAATGCCCAAAAATGCGTTTTTATAATCTTAAAACTAATTCAACATTTTAACTTGTAAGAAATTTTTTAACATTTAATTTTGTTATGAATTAGCTGTACAAAAAAAATTATATATTAACATTTTTTAAAAATTAATCTGTGGCCAGCCTTTGAGTGTGTAAATAAAGATCAATGACTTGGAAATTTGCTTTAATGAGTGAAATAAGTAATTGATTTTATACTTATTTTCCACTGGGTAACTACAAAATATAAAATGAGGTTAATTTAATTTATTATTATATTTAAAATAAATAATGTAGGTATTTATTTACTGTAGTATATTTTATGAACGCAAAAAAATGTTAATCCTCTCTTACATTAGTAATAAACGGTATGGATCATAAGTTTAAATGCCCAATTATTTTGGGCGTACTAAAGCTTTTTCTCTATATTTTCTAAAATTTATGTATGCAGTATGCTTAGTACTAGTTATTAACTATTAAATTGTAGGACTAGGCGAAAAATTGGAATATGTTTCCTCAACCCTCCTCTATTTGTTCCAATAGTGTAGATACTAAGTGCTAAGATTTTGATTAATAAAAAAAAGAAAAAAAACCTTAATAATCAACTATTTTATTCGAACACTTAATCTATATTATTATGTACAGATATATTAAATCTTGCATCGGCTATCGGTTAATGGTCCAGAAGGTCCATGTTTTTAATTTAATGTATAATAAAAATATAAAAAAAAAATTGCAACTGAATTTATGAGACCCAAGTTCCTATATTCCAACAGTTTCAAATAAGAAATTTAGATTTTACAATTGTAAGTTACCATAGGAAAATTGAAGAATGAAAATCTGCATTGATTGTAGATTGCTTCTACCATTATAGGATCTTATTTTTAAAAAATGCTGAGAAAATACTAACCGAATGAAAACACAACTTTTCATTAAAAAAGTACTTTTATAATTTTTTTTAAATATCTATAAATAGCAAACAAGAGCTAAAATACTTTGAAAATCATGTCATGTTAAGTAATAATTATATATTATAATATTTTATAAAATTTATTTTGTTTCAAAACTGATTTTATACTAAAATAACCGTCTTTCCCTGATATTTCTTTTTTTTTTTACCTGATTATTTTTAAAAGTATCTTGAGTTAGTTTTTGACCCAGATGTACCAACTACATTCGTTGCGAAGTAAGAACATAGAAGTAAATTGGGGAGGAGCTTAGGGGGATTTAGCCCCTCTTCATGTTTTTTAAAGTTTTTTATTTAAGAAAATTATAAAATGTACTAAGTAGTTCCTAAACAGGATATCTTTTAGGTATGTATTATGTGAACGTTTAAGGTTCATGCATTATGGATGGATTATAATGTATTATAAATTTATAATAAAATTAAAATGATTGAGCTACGTTAATATTATATAGCAATAACTTTTTCAATTTAAATTTTGAACAAAGTACTTACTTCATTGATCGTTATAAAGTAAATATAGCAATAATATTCTATGAGAACCATGTAGGTACTTAATATATTTGTTAACATTTAATTTTATATTTCGTATTTTTTTAGGATTTGTAAAGTATTTCTGTTAATTCATTGAAAGCTCAAATGGCCGTCACTAAAAATTGTATAATCCAGACATATGGTACTTCAAAAAAATTAACAGCAAATAACTTACAGCTTATTATTAGAGCTGTAAATTTAATGTACTAAAAAATGAAATAAAATATGCACTTAAAATGCAAAATATTTAAAATATTGATTGAATTTGAATGTTATTTAATACTTATTCACCTGAAACATTTTTAAAATTGTTTTTTTCTTATGTATTAATATTTATTTTGTTAATAATTATGTTTTTAAAGATGTTAATTGACGAAATTTAACTAAGAATACCTGAAAATTAACTATTAAAGGAAAACATGACCTAAAAATTCAAAAAATGACTTAAAAATTAAAAGGTCAACAAATGCAATATAAAAGTTTCATAAATCATAAATGTATTCGTTGTTATATAATTCAAATTATATACTCACAGAGCTACGTTTCACAATCGCCAAAAAAAAAAAAATTAAATTATTGTAATGATAGGCTCACACATCACTGTATATTTTATAACTATAAAACTCAAATAAATAAAATAACGGTCAAGTTGTCGCACGCAGATTAAAATTCCATGATGAAAGAAACGACTTATATGGTCACGAAGGGATTGACACATGATTTGTGGCAATGTGCCGCAAAGCGTGTGACCAAATTTCGTGTGCCGCCAGAGACAAGAGATGGTCCAATAAGGGTCTCTATCGCCTAGGAGAAAGCCTATTTTTTTAGAAAACGCAGAGATTTTTGATGGTGCCGTCTGCGACTCTGGCTGGCTTGACCAAGTCGTCGTTTCTTATCAGTACATGAGCACCGACTAAACTATTAAGTGCAGGTGCACCAGACAAGCGAGCAAGAGCTCTTCCCAAAACCACCACACGGCACACACACACAAGATACTGCGAGCGACAGCTGGACTTCTTTTTTTATAAGTCAAATCACAGTTGTTTTTCTTATTTAAATTTAAGTTTTTTTTTAAGGCGTTTCGTGATTTGTGTCATCTTATATCTTTCTCCGACGAACTTACAATAAGAATTCACTGTCGCGAATCAGGTAAAGTGCATGTTTAAAACACACCTACCTATTGTTAGTACAGGTTCCTGGTTCTTTTACCATCTAACTTATGTAACGGTGTGTTTGATTACATTCTCGAATACAAGACCTTGAGAACCCTCCGAAGAACAGGAAGAAGGTAATAACATGAGATCAAGTGTATTCAATAACTATTAACATCGGATTTACATCTAAGGCTTGTGTCCCTCGTGTTTGTCTGGCCACCTTCCATTGATATATTTTTAACTTTTTTATTTTTATTTTATTTTATCATATTTTCTCGTTATTACAGTACTTTCCTACAAATTAACAGCCTTTCTTATTTTACATGTAAATTTTTACCCAAACTTGTTTCATCTGTATAAAATAGCTTTAACATTACCAATTAGTTCCTTTACGTGTGAGAGAACTGAGAAGTTTCTCTGCTATGCGTCGGATAAAAACGTGGTTACAATTGTTACAAATGTTTATGTCACAAGATAGATTCAATCAAGTGTCTATTTTTTTTTATAGAAAAAAGCGATACCAAAAATATTAACAAGGAGACTATTCTTAAGAATTTTGCATATGCACATAAATAATGTTAAATTAATAAAGAAAAAAAAATGCTTTAATCAATAATATAAGTATTTAAATATGGTTTTACTAAATAAATAATTTTAAAGTATTTATATACATCTTTTAAAATAAATGTTACAATAAAATTGTAAAATTTAAACGTAGGGGGTGCGGGGGGCGAAGCTCTCCGCGGGCCTGTTATATTTTTATTATTTTAGCCCTCCCCTTCTAATAAGGTAAATTTATACCTATGAACAAGAACGTACCCGGTTGTAGGTTGGTGTTGATTGACTTGATTGGCTTACAAGAATGAAAAGAATCGTTCTCGGTAGGTACACAACTTACAACTCACAAGATTGTGGTATGGAAATCAGGTCTGTCGCTTATTACTTGTTTGAATAGGTATGTTCTTACACCTCGATGGTCAGTACCTACTCGGTGAGTGCATATATGTATATAGCATATGTATACATGTCGGATGAACAATAAATTTACCTCTAGTAACTATCTTTGAAGTTAAATATCGAAACATTTTTTTGTACTATTATTTGTGTACTCACAAAAAATTTAAAATCTAAAATATATACTATATAGGTACTATTATAATTTATAATAGGTAAACAATTCAACTGTAATATTCAATTTTTTTGGTAGCCTATTATCAGGATCTACTCCCCTATCACAAATGATTATATTTAATATTTAAACTTCCCTAAGTCATCTAGTACACTAACATCACAAACTATCATGTTTTAATATCATAATTTATAATATTATACTCCCTATACGTGGAATTGAACATTTTCATTGAGTTTTATTTTTAACTAATTATGGATTAAACGAGTGTGAAGCTGAGGAGTCTGGCAAAATATAGAGGACTATTTTTCATACTATTGGCGATAAGAATCTTTGTATGTTCAGTTATATGGTAACACATTTACGGTATAACTATTACAATTTTAAGCAAATATTTTTTATGGTAATGTTTATATACATAAATCCAAATTCAAATAAGTGGTTTCTGAAATATTAAAATACATATAAATGTTTTTTGGATAACAGCTATTAAAAATAGGCTTGCAAAAATATAAAATAACTATTAAATAGGATTTGTGATATTGGATCTTCAAGACATTTTTATATATTAATAACATGTTAATACATTTTTATCAATTACTACATTTCTTAAATAATTATTACTAGGTAACACTATCTTCTAGTATTGTATGTACCTATTATCCTTACTACATAAAGTTAAATAATTCAAAAACTAATCATTAGAACTTTTATTTAAATATATCAATAGATATTTAAAAAATGTTATTTGTTTAAAAATTTAAACAAACAATGGTGGTACTTATTTGAAAAATGAAGTTGGTATCGTCACAGGGCACTTTAATCAGTATTTATATACGTTACTATAGAAGTATAGAATATAATCTTATATAATTCAAAAATTAGAATTTGAATAAATTATTCGTTTAAAAAAAAAAAACCGTACACGGTGAATTATCTTGCATTGATACTGATATGATTAATGTAATGATATGAGATTCGTAGTTTTAATGGTTTTTATACTTGCAGTATGAATATTTTTGAATGATTTTAGATGATTTAAGATCCTATTATTATGTTTTACAATGGATCATTTTATCCATTTACTAATGTATGATTAAATATTTATTTTATTTTTTTTTTTAACTTGTATTAATATTATATTTTTAAATACATAACTTCGTATTAAATTATTGCATACTCTCTTATATATTTAAATACCTAGTAAACGTTACCATTATTTAAAATGTTATGTTATTAAATTATATTTATTATAATTTGTGTGTAACCACTAATACCATTAACCATATAGTTAATAGGTAACCAATTCTATTTAATGTATATAAAATTCACTGGTTAATATTGTTAAGTAGTACCTACCTATGTATTTAATATAATGCGTAATAAGGTATACATTTTAAATTGTATAGATATTTTATTTTTAGTATGACACTTATATTGAATGACTTACGTATTTTCAATAAACTCAATGAAGTACGGATATTATATATACGATCATACAAAATTGAATAACATGCATGCAAAAAAATGGGTCAACTATATTTTTAAAGTAAAAAACATGACAAATAACTGTTTCAGAATAAAAAAAAAAATAAGAATGCATTCTATTCATATAATTTTCGTAATTATAACGTTTAAAAAATTTGAAATTATTGTAAATAAAAGCTTATTTTAAATATTATACTGCGGAATTAATGCGGCTATAGTGTATTCTTTTTATTATTAAGTATTGTTTTGTTTGACATGCAAAATAGCGATTTAAACAAAAAAAATATGCAAAAAAATAAATAACACACGGTACCTTGCTGCTCATGGAAAGGTACGAAAGCATAAATGGAAACTTAATAGTTCGTACTGTAGAAGGGATTGAACCCAAACAGATTGGTTTTGACATGCAAAACAAACGCTCGCCCGTCGCTTGGTGTTTTTTCCTTATTGCCGACGCCGTCATGGATAAGGTGAGTAATTAAAATATCACTATTTTCTTAGCTTATTATTTAAATGTTTTATTTAATATGGATTTTTAATTATTTAAAATTTGTTAACTTAATTAAATTTTAGTTTCCTAGGTATTTACAATTTAAAGTGTACCTATATATAAATATATATATTGTGTATATTTTTTTAATGAGCTCCCTCCCTATATTTTCAGGGGAAGGGAGAAATTACGATTTTAATATCTGAATTTTTTTTCTTAGTATATTTTTGGTAGGTATTTGATTTTTGATTATATGTTTTTATATTTGTTTAAGCTTTTGTAGTGATAATCCTAATTTGTTTAAAAACTATGAATTACTTATTTAATAGTTATTGCTTAATTGTATGTATATTTTGAGTTATTTTAACATGGTTGCAGTTTTACTATTTTTATTATGGTAACATGAGGGCATATTAATATCCTTTACCGCTGATAGCACTCATTCAATAATATATTTGAGGTTAATGTATACATTTATCATTTTTATTAAAATGTAGGAAAAATTGGTATCTAAATCGTAAAAACGGGAAATCATCTTATTATAGTGATAATTTTTTTTATACATATACAAATAAGTTATTATTACTTTATAAAGTTAAATATTTTTAATTATTTTTTAATATTTTAAGAAAACATACTTAGATAGTTACACTATCATAAATTTGAGTTTTTTAGGGTTTCTTGATCAGTGGAAGTCGAGTACAAATTAAAAACTAAGAAATTAAGTAAATAGTTTATAATAAAATGATTATAAACGATTAAATATCTAATATACCTATTTAATTAAATTAGGTGTGTAAAATATCAATACAAATATTTTTCTAGTAGGTACCTATAACTGTAGATTATATTCCTATTCGCTGAAATTTTGATTACCTGTTCAATAATATGTTACTCACTTATGATGTACTGTCAGGGAAATGCTCAAATGTCTTAAGTATTTAGTGTTATTATATAGTACCTATGTAGTTTGAGTTGAAGCATAGATATAGAAGTTTTAAATCTTTATAGTTATTTGGGAAGAAATAATTTTTTTCTACTAACCAAAACCAATATAATAGTATTGGTGGTCTAAGACTGTCAATACTTGTACAGTTGTATAATTTGATATGAGTAGAGTCGTTTATATTATTAAGATTTTTTAATAACAACATGTATGATAATATTTATATTATTTTAATTTTTGAAGTTTTTATTTGATAGTTCTTGTAAGATCTATATTTGTTAATTAATTAAACATTTTTAGAAACATACTACATAGTGCTTATTGTTTAAAGCTTTGTGGTAGATATCAAAATGTCATAAGTATTATAATAATAATAATAATAATGCAAACAATATTAAATTAATATTATAATAAAAGACGTTAAACGTAATGGAAACGAAAATAATTGTGTTGCTATTGTTAAATGTTATTATGTTAATACAATAGCAGACAGACATCATTGTTTATTTTGCTGTTATGAATATTAAAATGCATATTATTTTGTATGAGTTTTTTTTTTTTAATAGCACTCTTAGTATATATATCATTGAATTTAAAAGAAAGGGGAAATTGTTGAAAAAATAGATTGAAATATCAATAAATAATAAATTACTTTGTGATTTCATAATATCTACGTGGTTTTTGTAACAATTAAAAAATAATTTTACACGCGTTTTTATTTAAACACTCCCAGCTAACTAGCTAGATACAAAATGGTCAATAATTCAGACATTTTTTATGTTATTACGGTATAGATATGAATACCAATTACTTACTGCAGGTTTCATATATTTCACGTGTCTACATATATAATTATTTTAGCTGAATTCCATTGATATTTTTATTTTTGAATCTTAATAACATTGTATGGTTACATAATAAATGTATATACTATAGTAGGTATTTAGATAATACCTATAAATACATTAAATAATTATGAAAGTAATATGAATATTGTGTACCTACCTTCCTATGAAATTTATAGAAGGGTAAAAATTAATTTCATAATGTTTAAAAAAGTTCTGTAGTCCTTTTTAAACATTTATTTAAATAATAAAACATCTATGAGAATCATGCAATTGTCATTTTTTGTATATATAATTGTTTTTTTAATTAAAATTATATGAACTTCAAAAAATACTTTTAAAATGTTTGATTTAATTTTTAATTTAGTTATTTGGAAATATAATATAGATCTTACGGTTTTTTAAATACATTTAATATAGACATATGTTACACAAGACATACCATTCTATTTTATACTGTATTAAATGTTTCTAATGAAAAATAACTAACAAAGTAATGAATACAACAATATTATAAAATAAAACACATCATTTTCTATGCATTATAGTTTTGTTCGATATCCAATAATCAATATATTTTATACAAATATAATAATAATTCATTTAAAGAACCTATTGCTTATAGAAATACATTTACATATTTTTGTTATTTGAAGCATTTTGAGTCGAGGATATTTCGAATGTATTTCGAATACAAATAAAACTTTAATACCAAAAATAGAACTTTAGAAATCCAATATCAAAGGACATTTTACGTAATATGATTACAAATATGTGTTTAGACTTTAGATATAGTATTGTATAAACTATAGTCTATAAGTAAAATAGGTATTAATGTATAATTTACTATAAATATAATATATTTAATCAAAAGCAGTTATACTTGAAATGCAAGTAGTGGGAATACATTGTCAAAATAATATTTCCTTTTCAGTCATATCTTGGTAAAAAAGTAAAGCACAAGAAGCACATTCATAATTTGTTGCTAATACTTTAGTTATAATTATTTTAAAACTAATAACCATGGTAGACTATAAGACATTAAACCTAAGTGAAATTGTGATCCACTAATTCTCCCTCTTTTAACAACCCAGCATTATAATCGTAACTGTATATAGATTCTATACGTCTTTTTTATATTTATATGTAACATCATAGTTATATAGGTACCTTTAAATTATAAACGTATTATTTAATGAAGTATTGAAGTCATAATTTGGTATATACACAATATATTACAATATATATGAATATAGTTCTACAACTGTATGTACACATAAAGTATGTATTAATGATAGATATTTAAAAAAAATAATAGATAATTAATACTAGGGAGCTCTACCCCCTGCTCGATTTGTTTACAAACCATTTGGGAGTAAATACCATTGTTGTACCTAACATATTTGTTTACGAAAAATTCTTTCGTAGGCGGGATCTAAGGATCATCCCCTTTGTTTCTTGAAATTTAATAGTTGTTACACAAAATATAAAAAACTTAAATAATAATTATTATTTATTTATTTATTTGATTGCCATGGACCATAGTAATAATTATATTTTATTATATACAGAACAATTTTACACAATACAAAGATACTTATCGAAAACTTAAAAAATAATCAAAATTATAATTTAAAAGATGTTTATTATAAATTCACGAATAATAAAATATAATACTTATATATTATATTATCAATAGGTTTTTGTGTAATTATTCTGTTATATTTATACAAATAATATTTAATGAAATGAGTAATAAGAAATCACTGTACCGTCTGTACCTTAGTACCTATATATAAGTAAAATAGACAATTGTATGTTATTGGTAATCTATTAATAAATTACAAAATTTATTATGAATAATTACTTATACTAAATAGTCATTATAGTAATTGAATATTTATCATCATTTTGAATATTATTATATAATGTGTACATATTTGATATGATTTAATAAATCATATAGATACCTACGTGATATATAAAGTACAAATTATCAAGTACTTATGATATATTATATTATAGGTTACCTGTAGTAGGTAGGTCACTTAGTGGGTATAAAAAAATATTATTTGCCCATAATAGATATTATATGAAGAATGATTTAATAGTTTAAAATTTAAATCAATATATTTGAGTGTTTAGACAAATGTAGTAATATTAACATAGATATAGTAAAATTATTCACTAATAATTTATACAGTTGGTTTGATTTTAGATATGAACAATGATCATATTATTGATTTAACAATGATGGGAAGTTTTTTTTTGTTTGTCTATGTGTTATGTGTTTATATAAATGTATTTAATTTGTTTAAAAATATTAAAATACAGAGTTAAGATTTTTTTTATAAACTTTTGAAGTTTTCTTTTTTTTAAATCACATAATTATTTTGCTGTAATTCAAAAATATTATTCATGGAACTAAGAATTGATGAATATGTTGTTATATTATATATATTTTAAGTTAAAACTTCAAAAGCATATAAAAATAATTTTTAATTCTGTATTTTTAATTTTTTTAAATTCTTATGAATAAAACTAATATGGGATTTCGTATCAAAGATTATAGCTTTTTTAGCAAGTCAGAACTAATTATATTAGTATTAAAAAATATCGTAAATTTTAAATGCCTATAAATAGCTAAAATTTAGTTTAAATATTTTAAAATTTGCATTAACTGTATACAATTATAATTTAAGTAACAAGAAAAAGTTTCAAGTTTCTATGATAAATAATTTTTGAGTTACAACAAGATAAAAAATGTATTTTGTCAAAAATTGGTTTTGCTTAAAAATGTTTGCTTTTTTGTTTTTCCTGATAAAGGAGTTTTTAAAAATTTCTACTCTGATTTATCGGCAGTACCAACTAGATTTAATTTTTTACTAATAATCACCCTCAATATATCATCAATATACCCTATATCATCAATCTATATTATAATATATTAAATTATATTAAACAGGTGTATATTATTAAGAACGCCTTGTTATTTTGTTGTGATTCAAAAATATTATTCACGGATACTTGAAACTTTTATATATGTACATAATATATATACACGAAATTTTCAGGAATTTAGAGTTGGTGTTGTGTCAAAAATTTATTTTTTAGCTTTTGAATGGAGTGATAAATATATTGATTTTATAAGTGTGTTTTTTTTTGTGTTCACAATGAGAAGTTAAAAAA